ACTTCGACAATAACAAGAACAACAATAACAACGGCTGTTAGACATTTACGCAAATCAACAGAGCTATAGATCGACAAACTCGGCAGAACAACAAAAAAAAAGGCCTTTCCAGATTGTCAGATATTAAATGACTTTTTTGCCACAAACATATACACACCCTCTCCACATATACGCACATACACATCTCATGAAGTATTCATTGAAAAAGGCACAAAAGGCAGAGCCACTCTCAGTCGAATTTAGGCTGCTGACAAGCAAATTTGATGGTTTTCAAGGAACATTCAGAACGCCTACTTCGCTTCAGACAGTAAGTAAGGGAAAATTTTCGACAAAAATAGGGGGAAATATTCAAATGGGGGAAAAACATAAATTGGCTGAATGGAAATTCAAAGCGGTAAAATGATGTCATTTCTTTTGTCTCGTTTGGAGATTAAAACGCAATTTTCATACTTCTTCTTCTTGGTTTTGTTTTTTGTTCATCCGGAATCCACTTTAACATTGAATAATTGCCATTTAAGGACAGGACCTCATATCTAAATCTATAATCGTTGTTTGTGGTAGTTTGGGAAAGTAATGGTAACACAAACAGCACACGCACACGAAATGAGTGTGTGTATGTGTGATGAGCGTCCTTGTCAGGGATGAATTGGTTTGAAATTGTGGGGGTATAATGGGGGTATCCACTGATAAATCTGTGATGAGAATGAAATGACTGGTAATGGCAATTTATAGTTTTTGAAAATTGCCATTAGCAAATATGTCGATGTTAATGAATCGTCATCTTGGGAACAAAAACGGAACAAACATACATACATACCAACATTAAGGAAATTGTTCGGTAATTTAAGATAAAATGCAACGCAAAAATCCGAAATATATTTTTTTGATTGGAAATGAGTCATCGACATTGAAAGAATATTTTTTTTTTTTTAAATCCAGGCCTATGTTAGGATATTGAAAAAATATTTTTTTAACCAGTAAGGAGAGTAGTAAAGTCGGACTGGGCCGACTTTACTACATAGCCTCCTAACAGACGTCGCCTTTTCTACGGAAAATTGACATGAAATTGAACGAAGGATATATAGGAACTTTGGTGCACCATTTCTATTAACTCAGACGAAAATATATGGGACCTATATCTAAATCTGAACCGATTTTCAAGAAACTTGGCACACATCATTCTAAACTTAATTCAGTGCGCTATGCCAAACTTCGTGCAAATCGAAAAATATTTAGGGACTTTGGTCCACCATTTACCCTTAAATCGGGCGAAAATATATATGGGAGCTATATCTAAATCTGAACCGATTTTCATAAATTTTAACACTCATCGTTCTAGACTCAATTCAGTACGCTATGCCAAATTTCGTACAAATCGAAAGATATTTTGAGACTTTGGCGCACCATTTCCATTAAATCGGACGAAAATATACATCGGAGCTATATCTAAATCCGAACCGATTTCCACGAAATTTAGCACACATCATTATAGACACAATTCAATGCGTTATGCCAAATTTCGTACATATCGAAAGATATTTAGGGACTTTGTTGCACCATTTACCTTTAATCGGGCGAAAATATATGTGGGAGCTATATCTAAATCTGAACCGATTTTCACGAAACTTAGCACACATCATTATAGACTGAATTCAGTACCCTATACCAAATTTCATGTATACTTACTTACTTAGCTGACTTGTTACAGAACGGTTGTTCCATAAGCCGAGCTTAAAAAAAAGAGTTCCAAGCACATCGGTCTGGTGCGCAAATCCACCAATTTGGAAGACCACGTTCCAAGATGTTGTTTTCTACTTGGTCTTTCCATCTAATTCGTGGCCTTCCCCTTCTACGGAAACCATCAGTAGGCTCGTTTTTATATGCCTTTTGAGCTGGGGTATTCGAATTCATCCGCACAACATGGCCTAGCCACCGTAATCGTTGCAGCTCAATACGTCTGACTATGTCGATGTCCGCGTATAAATTGTAAAGCTCGTGGTTCATTCGACGCCGATATTCACCGTCAAAGCAGATCGGCCCATAGATCTTTCGGAGTATTTTTTCATTCAAACACCCCAAGGACAGCCTTATCTGCTTGCGTAAGTATCCATGCTTCAGATCCATATAACAGCACAGGTAGTATCAGCGTCTTGTAAAGTGTGAGTTTGTTCTGGCGGGAGGTGGCCTTGCTTCTAAACTGCTTAGACCATAGTAGCATCTGTTGGCCATCACAATCGTTCTCCGAATTTCAAAATTGATGTCATTCGATTTATTTTTGGCGGTACTAAGGTATATAAAATCTTTTACTACCTCGAAGTTGTAGTTATCAAGTTCCATAGTTGGTCCGAGTCTATTGGACGTCTTGCGCGTTGATACCATCAGCTTGGTCTTCTCGCCGTTTACTGCCAGACCCACTTTGGAAGACTCCTTCTCAATTCGTTCAAAGGTAGCTGTTGCCGCTCTCAATGTTCGACCCATTATATCGATGTCATCGGCGTAGGCGAGTAACATGTGTTGTTTGGTGTACAGAGTGCCATTTCTGTCCACCTTTGCGTCTGGTATGACCTTTTCCAGCAGGATGTTAAACAGATCACACGACAAACTTTCACCTTGTCTGAATCCTCGTTCGGTATTAAAGGGCTTCGAGAGGTCCTTTCCGACTTTAGCTGCTGATCTTGTGCCTGTTAAAGTTATCCTGCATAGCCGAAATAATTTTGCAGGAATGCCAAACGCAGACATGGCATTATACACCTCTGAACGGATAGGGCTGTCGAATGCGGCTTTATAGCCGACGAATAGGTGGAATGTTGGCATGGTCCGAAAATGTCATTGACCATTGACTTCAGTCGTTCACACAGCACGCTGGATAACACTTTATATGCGATGGGACGGAGACTTATTCCTCTATAGTTGGCACATATCGTCTTGTCTCCTTTTTTGTGCACGGGACACAGGATGCTGATGTTCCAATCATTGGGCACGCATTCTTCTAGCCAAATCGTATCTGACCACCAGTCTTAAATAGTTCGGCTTGTAACCCATCGGCACCTGCTGATTTATTATTCTTCTGCCGATTGATTGCTATTCTGACTTCATATTGGCTAGGTGGTATACACTCTATACCGTCATTTATTATTGGTTCTGGGGTATCCTCTTCACTGCTACTATTTGATACCAGAAGTGTTTCAAAATGCTCCTTCCAGATTCTCAGCACGCTGTCTGTATCTGTCACCAGGTTTCCTTCTTTGTCTCTACAGGAGGATGTGGCTGCACCAAAGCCTTCGGTTTGGTGTTTTACCCGTTGCTAGGATTTTCGGACTTCATTCTGACTCCTGTACATCTCGATTTGCTCACGCAAATCTTCTCTCTACTTTTCTCCCGACAGTTCTCCATCGCATTACGTGTTGCGTTTTTCATATCAGTAGCATTACGACACTCCTGATCGTACCACGGTTTTCTTGGTGGTGGTCTTTAGTGTTGCTTTTGCTGCCGTTTTTAGGGAGTGGGCAATTCTCTGCCATTGCCTTTCTATATTATTATCGGGACAAGAGGTGCTTTCGTCAAGCAGTTGCGTAAGTTGAGCGGAGTAGGCTTCTGCTATATGTGGTGTTTGCAGCTTTTCGACGTAAAATTACTATGTTACATTAGATCGCACCTTTGCTGCTACATTAAGACGGGTGCGTACTTTGGCTGCCACAAGGTAATGGTCCGAATCGATATTCGCTCCCCGATTTTTGCATTAAAATCTCCTAACAGAATTTTAAGGTCATGGCCAGGGTAACGGTCATATGATGTTTCTAGGCGCTCGTAAAATATGTCTTTGGTCTGTTCATCTTTATTTTCGGTCGGAGCATGGACGCAAATGAGACTGATGTAGAAGACCTTCGCTTTTATACGGATTATAGCAATTCGCTCATCTACTGAAGTGAATCTGGAGACGAGGTCTTTTATTCTCCTGTTAACCATAAATCCGCAGCCAAATTCACGTCTTGTTTCATGACAGCTATAATACGGGGCGTAATCTTCTGATTTACGTACGCCAGTCCCTTTCCATCGCATTTCCTGTAGGGCAATAATATCGGCTTTGTACTTATGTACAACGTACGCACATTCCAATGTGCAGCTTCACAGATCGTGGTCCTTTATAAGTTTGCGGGGGTCGTCAACATTAGGTGGGTTTAGTTTTCTTTTTCATAGTAGGTTCGGTTTTCCGAATGTGGGCAACTTACCCGACGCCTCAACCAATTTTATATATATATATATAAATCTGAACCGATTTTCATTAAACTTAGCACACATCATTCTAGACTTAATTCAGTACACTATGTCAAATTTCGTGCATATCGGAAGATATTTAGGGGCTTTGGCGCACCATTTACCGTAAATCGGGCGAAAATATGTATGGGAGCTATATCTAAATCTAAACCGATTTCTATGAAACTTAGCACACATCATTATAGACTCAATTCAGTACGCTATGCCAAACTTCGTGCAAATCGAAAGATAGTTTGGGACTTTGATGCACCATTATCCGTAAATCTGACGAACATATATATGGGCGCTATATCTAAATCGGAACCGATATTCACGAAATTTAACACACATTATTCTAGACTTAATTCCACGAGCTATGCCAAATTTCGTGCAAATCGAAAGATATTTTGGCGCACCATTTACCGTAAATCGGACGAACATATATATGGGAGCTATATCTAAATGTGAACTGATTTTTCGCAATATCAATAGGGTTCTTCCTTGGACCGAATAAATGAGCTGTGCCAAATTTCATATTCTCAAAAGGAACCATGTGTCTATCTCGTTTCCTGTTACAAACATATGCACAAAGACATAATACCCTGTACCACAGTATTGTGAAGGGTATAAAAACCCACGCCCATGTTAGGACATTGAAAAAATATTTTTTTAAATCCACGACTATTGATGACCCTTGATACCTTAGTCTCCTTTAATAAAACTCCATTATTAACATCAAAATTTCTTTATAGCCGTTTACCGGCTTTGGTAATTTCAAATTCCAATATAATGACTAGAAAATTTATGGAATAAGCTACTAGGAATAAAGCAAAATCATTGTGCAAAATAAATAAATTTAATATTGAGAATTTTTCGATTTGAGGCCACAGGACACTTGATTCCACCATTTGATAAATTTTGGGCATCTGGAAATAATTTTAAAAGAACTTCGTCATTAAAAACCCATAGAAATAAAATTTCAAAAATCTCCACTAACTTTTAAATGTGAAATACCTTCAAAAAATACTGCTCTTCACGATTCAAAAACAAGTCGCGTACTTTGCGTTGACTGCGTTCGCATAGATATGCCATCAGGATAATTGAATACAACTCCAACGATACACTGACCAGATACATAATGAAGGTGGTATAAACCCGATCTGTGGTCACATAATAATCCAAAAAGGCATAGATGTTACAAAGGATCGTAATAAATTTGATCAACATCATAATGAAGATACCAAACTGCAAAGTGTTGACAAACAGCGCAATTAATCGTTGTAAGGCATTCTGAAAGGTAATGAGTCGTAGCATTTTCAAATTACTCGAAATATTTTCAAAATTCGCCAACTGACGTTCCAATTGCAGTGAGAGGGTGAGTAGACCTAAAATTGCGGTGAATATTGCCAGACCAAATATCGAGGTGAGATGTTGCATGGCTACCAGGGCCACAAAGGCACAAATATTCGTACCCGATAATCGGGAGGCTCCCGTAAACAAAAACGGCAGACACATCAACAGATCATAACAGGTGAGACCCACTTTTACCATCAGTGCCAGAAATGTTTTGAAACTAATAAAATCCACATCATAAAAACGAATCTTCTCCGTAATATCCACAAAAGAATTTAAAATCTCCACCAACTTATTGCGATGCCAAATCTGCGCCGACATTATCAACAAAGTTCCCACCACATCCGCCAACATTGTAAACTGAGCAATCCTCTTGAAAAGCGTATCTTGATTGCTGCGCGATGTGTCATATAGATCGGGTATTATTTTTGCCAAAAATGGTGTTACCAATATTAGACCCACACAAAAGCTAACCGCTACACCCGTAAACGCGCGATGAGTACGAAAATGCAATCGTGATGTGCCGGTCGGACTTTTACGGCGCTCCACAACAAATGGTGCCAACAACGTCACTTGATCACAAAAAATCATGACACGTATAACACCGAAAAATATTTTATTCCACAAGTGTCGAAGTTTTGCCATTAACGTTGGCGGTCTGTCGTCACATGTTGACGACTCGGCACAGTATCGTAAATGTCTTGGCGACATATTGTTTTTCTCCATTCCCGTGTGATGGATGAATGAGTCACAGTTAATGAGTTTCTGTAATAAAAACGAAGGCACAGAGAAACAGTGGTTGTGGTTAATTTATGAATTATAAGGGTAATGAAGGACATGCATCTTTGGATATAGGGTGGGAAATTATAGTCTCGTTTTATCAACTTAATTTTGTGTTCTGAGAAATTTTTGGAAATGCATATGGATTCGAAACGTATCAATATTCAAAATAAGTCAAATCATTGTTATGTTCGATCGGGTGAAACTTTTTATACCCTCTAAAAAACCCATAAGTAGTTCTGCACCCATATATAGGGACTATTGTCTGCCAAGGCGGTTTTTATCATTCATGTAAAAAATATCAAATTGCAGAGAATTAACCTTATATATGCAATATATCTAAAGCAGAACAGGACTTAAATGAGGACTATGCAAAATCATGGTCCTATATTGAATATTTTTTGCGAAGAAACTAGAAATTCATTCATTTATTAATCCAATTTGACCATGACAACATCGTTCTAGCCAAGGGCTTTCAATCCTGAAAATACAAATATTTGAGTATATTTTCTACGTAGGGGTGAAAACAAACACTAGACCCTAGTTTAGGTCAGTTTTCATAACCACATTCGAGAATGGTTTCATTTTCGGATTTTTTTCCGACATAAGTATAAAATGTTCATACTATATTGGATATAGACCTCAGCGATTTGTCGTCATCATGGACACAACGCCGCAAAATGTCCTATTTCCTAAATGCAACTGCAAAGAACTCAAATGCGATGGTGTAATTTAAAAAAATCCGTTCAATTTCCTAGGACAGAATAACCCCAGTGGTTCATGAGCAAATTTAGTTGCATTGGTCCCACTTAACGGTTAAATAAGAAAAAAAGAGGTCCAAAACGCAAAGGAAACCTCTAGATCAAGCTCGGTCGAATTGTATTAACACTGATGAAGTTGTGGAAGCCATATAATACTATGCAAAAAAATTGAACTCATCTTGGGGAATGAATGCCCATGAAGAGTATATACTGAGAATGGCGGCTATAGCATGATATTTTTGAAATGACAATCGATTAAAGAACATAACATCGTTTAAAAAGCTTAACAAATATTATGGGCTACCATAATATGGGGACGTACCACATGTCCCGATATTGCTATTTTATACCCTTCACCACACTGTGGTACATGGTATTATGTCTTTGTGCATATGTTTGTAACAGGCAAAATGAAACGAGATAGACACATGGTTCCTTTTGAGAATATGCATAGAATCACTTTTTAAGTCGATTTATGCTGGTCCGACCGTCTGTCTGTCTGCCCATGTTAAATTGTAAACAAAATACAGGTCGTATTTATGATCCGAATTGGATGAAATTTGACATAGGTCACTTATTTGGCCCAAGGACGAGCCCTATTGAAATTGGGAAAATCGGATCAGATTTCTTTTGTCCGATTTAATATAAATGGTGTACCAAAGTCCCTATATATCCTTCCATTTGCACGAAATTTGGCATAGCGTAATCAATTAGATGTAGAATGATGTGTGTTAAGTTTCCTGAAAATGGGTCCAGATTTAGATGTAGCTCCCATATATATTTTTGTCCGATTTAATGTAAATGGTGTACCAAAGTCCCATATATCTTTCGATTTGCACAAAATTTGGTATAGCGTAATCAATTAGATCCAGAACGATGTGTGTTAAGTTTCCTGAAAATCGGTCCAGATTTAGATATAGCTCCCATATATATTTTCGTCCGATTTAATGTAAATGGTGTACCAATGTCCCTATATATCTTTCGATTTTCACGAAATTTGGCAAGGCGTACTGAATTGAGTGTAGAATGATGTGTACCAAGATTCAGATTTAGATATAGCTCCCATATATATTTTCGTCCGATTTCAGGTATATGATGTACCAGTCCCTTTATGTCCTTCGATTTGCACGAAATTTGGCATAGCGTACTGAAGTAAGTCTGGAGTGATATGTGCTAAGTTTCCTGAAAATCGGTCCAGATTTATATATAGCTCCAATATATATTTTCGTCCGATTTAATGTGAATAGTGTACCAAAGTCCCTATATATCTTTCGATTTGCACGAAATTTGACACAGCGTATTGAATTAGGTCTAGAATGATGTGTGCTAAGTTCTGCGAAAATTGGTTCAGATTTAGATATTGCTCCCATATATATTTTAATATATATTTTAATGTAAGTAAATGGTGCACTAAGGACCTAAATTTTGTCTGATTGGCACCAACGTACTGAAGACAATATAAATTGATCTCTGGCAAATGTCTTACAAATCGGTTAAGATTTAGATATAGCATGTTGATTGTACACCAAGAAATCAATGGGTGCCTGATTGAGGTTAAATACATACCAAATAGCGTGTATCAAGTTTGCTTTAAATCGATTTACAAAATTTAGAATAGGTTGCAGAATATCATGTGTAGGGATATTTAAGTTCGTGCAATTTCACGCCAATTTTCCTTCGAAAAGGCGACGTCTGTTAGGATACATATGTAGAATACACCCAAAGTGGTGAAGGGTATCATATAGTCGGTCCAGTCCGACTTAACTGCTTTCTTTACTGGTGGGGCGATATATTTTATTTTCGAACCCGGTGTTCTAGTTTTTAATCTCGATATCCTCCCAGATATCTAAATCGTCTTACAATTCCATACTTTCGGTTGCAGAAATTTTGTTTCAATCGGATTAACATTGGCATTTACATAAAATCGGACAAACTATATATGGCAGCTATATCTATATCTGAATCGATTTCAACTAAACTTCACATACATTAATCTGGACATAATTCAGTACGTTATGCAAAATGTTGTCTCAATCGGAAAAATATTGCGACCTGTACTTTGCTCACAAAAATACATGGACGAACGAACGGACGGACATGCATAAATCGACTCAGAAAGTGATTCTATGCATATTCTCAAAAGGAACCCTGTACCACAGAGTGGTCAAATGGTATGAAAAGAGCCAGAATTATTTCTGACTCTGAAACCGAAAATAGTTTTGAAGTAATTGACACATTCCTTGATAACGAAACAGCAGTTGGTGGGAATTTTTGTGGAAAACCTTCGATGTATACAACATTGAAAAACTTTTCAGGTCCAATTGCCTATGCAAAAAGGCATATTAAGCTTGGTTCAGCAAGTAGCACATTCATATTAATTCTTGACGATGGTATGATGGCGTACATAAAATCAACAATTTAAATTTTGATAAAATATTACTTTTCAAATATTTGGGTAGGTACCTGAAGAAGCGGACCGATAATCCTCAACTTCAATTATGATATAATTTTCGTAAAATGTAAGGTTGTACTATGTTTGGGTCAAAACGGATAACCCATTAGCAGGATATTCTAAATTTATTTTTCAACAAAATGTTAACCTTTTGTGGGGAAGGTAGCGAAAGGAGTGGTCTGATATTTATTAGCTTCAAGCAATATTTAGGTTCGGAAGAAATATTACGAAGTGCAAAGTTTGGGAAAAATCTGCAACTCTTTTCGAGAATTATCGCGCGCATTATCTAATCGGACAGGCATTTGCCAGCTCGACAGATATCTCAGTCTTAACTCTGAGGGTATAAAAATTGAGTTTATATGTAAAATATGTTTTCTATGAATTCTTTTATAATGAATATTTCATATAAATTAATACGGAACAGCTTTCTTCACAAAAGCTTAAATTTTCTTACATGAGCCATATTGGCTCATTTCCGTAAAATTAGGTATATACCAAATAGCCGTAAATCTAGTTTTAAAAATATTCTTAAAAGCTCAAGTTTTTCAAAAAATATTCTTAAAAATCGCACGCTTATTGATCTTATAAATATTATTAAAAATCCACGTATCTTAATTTTTAACCTGTATTTTTTTAAAAATCCACGCTCCACCTCCTGTCCAAATTTGAGTCCTTTAAAAATGATTCTTTAAAAAACACGCTTATTGCTTTTAAATTCTTTAAACAAATATTATTTGAACCAAAGGCTTATTGGTGATATAATCCTTTAAAATGTTTCCTAAAAAATTCACCTTATGGATAAGATGCCCTTTAACTATATATTCTTCAAAATCCACGATTATTAATTTGAAATTGTGTTCGAAAATATACGCTTATTAATCTGTTTATATTTAATGTATTTTGAAAATTATTTTTATAGTTTGAACTTTTAAATATAATTCCGAAGAGTATACCGAATTCTAGCCGGCCATACTCATTGCGTTATTGTAGTTTTATTATTTCAAAACATTGTCCCAACTTTGAGTACTTGATGTCAGCAAGTCTACGGCATTAACTAATAATTTCCCAATAGACTTACTTTCAAAACTGGTTACCGATAACAACGAATGCAGCTACAACAAATTGGATTGGCCTTTGAATATTTTCTAATTATTTTAAATGTTGTGCTTCAAAAGTTTCCATTAAACTACAGTAGGCTTTTAATATATATGTAGAATAAAATAAAAAAATAAATAAATTAAATTAAACAAAACTTGAAAAAACTGTTAAATTCGATCGAGCCCAACTTTTTATATTTCCCATTATGTCCTTAAAATCCCTTAAATCGGACACATTTATATAGGGACTATGCAATTGTGAATTGTCTGATAGCAGTAAATTACAGACACTAAGATTGAAAAACTGGGATAGAAACTTCAACATACAAAAAAAAATTATCAGGTTCTTTGCAGTGGCATACAACACAAAAAAACTAATTTTTTATATTCTCCACCAAGGGGGGTGTCTTAAAAGTGTCTTAAATCGGTCGAGACTTTTATATTGCGGACTATGTCAGTTTGTGCTCTGAATTAATTACAGACAACCAGGTTAAAAATAGGTAGGAATTTCAACATACAGAAAATTATCAGGTTCTTTGCTTGGGGATTATACAACTACATTGACATATTCCAAAAAAAAAAAAAAAAACAAAACGGGCTGAACTTTTCATATTTTCCACCAAGTTGGTTTCTTAAAAATCCCTTAAACCAATGGAGACCATTATATTGAGAAATGTTTCATTGTAAATTGTATGCTAGTAGTTTGTTTGTGATCTGCGTAAATTACAGACAGTAAAGTTGAAAACTAGGCTAGGAAATTCAGCATACAGAGCACTTAGCAGGACCTTTGTATGGGGCACGTACCAATGCGTGGACCATCCTAGAGTAGTAGCAATGATGCAGGTTACAATAAATGTTAAACATACCAACTATTCGAAAATTATTTTTCTTCCCATAGACGACCACTGTAGTCTGCAATGTTTTTCGATAATTTTATTGTCGCTTTTGTTATCCTGGTTTTATCTGCCGTTGTTGCTGTTGTCGTTGTCCGTCTTGAATTCGTTTTTACGATAATGCATATGTTTCAGCGAATGGCCTCCCGAAAAAAAACTGAAGTACTTCTCGTTCGCACTCTTCCTTCCGTACAATGACAATTGTACGGAATTTGTCAACGTTTCCTTTTACGTTCTCCAATCGTTCTTTTTTTTTGCGTTTTAAATCGCGTGCTGAGCTTGTTCACAATAGCCCTGATGATGTTCGTCGAAGACGTCTTCTTCTTCGTTGGAGGATTTACAATTCTTTGTTTGCGATTTTTATTACAAACGGATTTCTGTTCTGTTCAGTTCGCTCGGAGGGAGGTCACACACATGTCATATGTCTGTGCGGTGATGAGTTCCTTATGGGAAAAGTGTTGCACTTCACTATCCCGTTTGGTTTTATATTTATTTGCAACACACACTCACCCAGCGGTCCACCACTTCCTTTTGCTACCAGGGAAGTTGTAAAAATGCGCCGGAGAAACGTTTTTTCCCCGTTAAGCAATTTGCAAAGTTCGTTGTGAAAGTGTCACTGAATGAGTAGTTCGTCTAGTTTTATTTTTTCGCCATAGCCATTTTGTTGTACATCCATCCAGACTTCCGTTGTTTGCGTTCCATATGGCCGAAGTGTTTGTGTTGTTGGAGTTGTTGTTATTTTATGTGTGTGTGTGATTAATAATTGAAAGTATTTAAATGGACACTTGGTTCATATTGAGTCATTATTTATGAGCTATGGGATTTTCGTGTGTGTGCGGATATGCAAAACTTGTGCAAAACTTTCGCCGCCACTGCTGGGTGTCAAAGGATGGCTGCATTCTATTCCTGTTTGAATACTTTGATGGAATAGTTGGTAAAATTTTGGTGTTAACATTGTTTATTTTGCAGGATTAGCATATGATTTTCTTAACCAAGCAAACTTTATATAAACTTGAAAATGTGTCTCGTAGTTTTTCCATATTGGGGATTACTTCTATGAAGTCAATCAACAATTTGTTGAAATCATATCCCTGCTTCAAAATAGGTGTTTACGCGCGTATTAATAAAAGATGTTGCCGGCTTGGATGTTGGTTGAGTACTAATTTTATTTAAAAAATATTGTCCTTAAGAGCTACATATGTTATTCGAGCTTAGCCTAATGCAACCTAATAATAATTCTTATCTCTTCCTTCTTAATCCAGTGACCTTCTCTACCTACTGTGTGCATAGATAAGTGCGTGCGTGGGTCACAACCTTTATTATCATAAAACTTATCGTATGCACCAGTGTACATGATCAATGAAGATTACACATATGGATTTAATGGCTGGGAAACTCACATATGGATTTAATGGCTGGGAAAACCACATATGGATTTAATGACTTCTTGGAAATTGATAACATTGAAAATTCTATCTTAAAATTCATAGCAAATAAGCAATAACATTTATGACAGATCTACATTACAATTTATTATCTAAGACACTTAATTATTTTATTACTTCTTCTAAGCTAGACAAGATAAAAGAAAGATTCATGTTCATATTTTTATGAACATTCTCCCGGCCGGCAGATACTTTATTAAACATTCGGCCTTCCTTGGAACTGAATTGCTGCTATCCGTCTCCTTATTATAATTTTCCTTATAAACTGAGTTAGCAACATTATAACTACTATGGTAACTAAAATAAATGACATGTGACCAGACCAATTATGAAATTCTAAACCTCTTAAATTTAGTTTCTGCTTCTTCAAATCGTCCACGAGCGTCTTTAGCTGGCTGATCTCATTGTGATGTTTCACCAATACGTTTCCAAGGGGTTTTATGGCTTCTTTGTCGGCTTCACTGACGTCCTTTAAAAGAATAGAGTGAAATTGAGTTGACATTTCATTTCTTACCTGATGGACCGCCACTAGAGTCACTTTGTCAATTCTAGCCGTGCAATCTGTATCAAGGGCTAGAATACCTTGTTGTGGAAGTTCTATGATGGATTGCTGCTTTTCGGAACACTTAATATGAGCCGTTGCATTCTTAAACGTCTTAAAAAGCCAATTTCCCTTTTGCCTCAGCCGTATCCAATAGGGACTGTTTTCAACTTCATCGTACGTGCAGTTTATCTCGATGCGCGGCCTCAGGGGTGACAGTTCGCAATTGTTGGTCGACGCATCTCGCCAGGGAAAATTTTCTTCGCATACAATTTCATCTCCCAATGTGTTTTTACATTCGTTCAACATGACTTGTGTCAGATAGTGGAACGAATCCAATTCAAAATTGTACACGATGTATGGCGACCTTATCCTTGCTATCAATACCGCACCGTCATGTTCAAATGGAATCGGGATTACTCTATAGAACTGCGACGACTGTCTGTTGAAAAGAGGTATCTTCAAGTCGATCACCAATTGTGTGCCGATGTACATTCCACGTCCCCTCATCAAATGTAAAACCTCCTTAAGTTCTGTACCAGAAGATTTTCCGGGTAAAACATATTTCGTGGGTAGCTCATTTCGAATTTTAAATATTTCCGACTGCAATTTCTCCGGACTGATGAGCACAGGGTGTATATGACCATTATTAATGTCCAGTAACAGGTTAATGACTTCCTTTAGCACATCGTCACATTCGTCTATGTATTCATGGATTTCTTTAGTTATAATAAAGAAACGAATAGATTCTCTATAAACGAAGTAAGTTTCGTTAATGGTGGCGGTTATGTTATCAATTTTGCACTTTATCTCCACAAAGTGCGAATTGACTTCCTCCGTTGTTCTTTTTAGCAGATTGACCGTGGAATCAACTATCGATGTCTGCTTTTTTGACAATTCTTTTAAGTCGTACTGGTTGGCTAACAGATTTCTCATATTATTTTCCATCGCCACACGATCATCGTCGTCCATCACACCAAATGCCCAATGTTGAAAAGACCCTATGAACTTCAATGGGGCTCCTCTTCTTTGCCGTTTATCATCCCTCATGAAAAGCCGATTATTCGCCTTGATTTTGTTTACTTTATATTCCATATTGTTTATTACCGACCAGCACTGGTCTTCAAATGTTTGGAGCCTTGGACATATTTCTTTAGAGGCGTTGAGCAATGTGGATGCAAGATCCAGTGTTTCTAAGTACGTTTTCATTTCAAAATATACAACCATGTTCCATGAAGACGAGGCCATGTGGATTTGAGAGATTGGATCAAGATATATTGCCGTCGAACTATTTAATTCTTTTACTGATGAGGCCTTAGTCGTCATAATCAGACAAAGATTTATCATCATAGTCCATATCATAAAGGAATTTGCTGTTAATCTTGGTAACTTCTTTGTTGAGTTCACTTCGACCTCCTTTTTCAGCGTATCTTCTACCTTCTCCTCTTCAGGTCTCTCATCTTCGTGCTCTAATGGACATAATTTAT